CGGAAGAGCAAGTAAGTAATTTGAATCTATCCAATTTCTTTCCGTATGATTCTAGATATTCTATCATTCAGATTTAAACAAATGAGTAATTTGAACTGGAAGATCTAAGTGCAAACTAATTGAAATTAGATTACAATTATAAAATACAGATTTTTATAGAATATGTGAATTAAAAAACTTTATTAATTTTGGATTAATCAATTCTCAAATAAATTCTAGTGATCCTCATTTTCATTAATTCCTTTTTAAATAGATATAAATATATACCCTCTTTTTTCTCGCTTACTTAGTTTTAAATTTAATCTTCAAAATCAATTTAATCATTATCTAATGGTTATTTTGCAGCAGATTCAACAGCCTATTATGGCAATGGTTCTTATTCGATGCTTTGAGACACAACTACTACTTACTTTGGTTGTGGCTACATACTTTATACATTCAATACTTGTGGTGGGATTAACTCTTGGGCAACATGATATTGACCTGCTCTTTCGTAAATAATTCCACTTTCTTCTGCTTAGGCCAAAAAGTTGTGAACAGTTTATTCTTCGACAGCATTTGTGTAGAATAAACCGAGGTTGTTGGTAATTTCCTTCAGAGCTGCGGATGCTCCAAAAGAGGCTATCACATTTATTACATTTTGTTGCAATTGATCAGGGAATTATGAACTGGGAACTTCAGGGTAATAGAGTTTATCTAGACTAAATTGATGAAGTACTGAATCTATCTTTTGTGGCCTTTGGTTTTTTTTCTTATGTTTGCTTTTTTCCTTTTTTAACAGGAGATTGTGGGGGGGATTCAGGTTAATCAGCTGGTTCATCATTACCTTTAGTTTTTTTAGTCTTTTTAATTTTCTTATCAACAACTTCCACTTATTTTGCTTGTTCTTATTTGGTTTACTTTCCCTTTGCCATGAAACTTTTCTTGATGATATAATTTAAATATAAACTAAAAGCGGCAAATATTTGTATAGATTATAATCTTATTTATTATTGAATTGGCCAATAATATTGTAGATAATGAGTGATAACAAAAATAATAACACACCCCCAAATAACGGTCAAACAGATGATCCCAATTATGCTTTGCAAATGTAGATTATTTCATTTTAAGATTAAACCATCAATAATTTAAAATATACTATCATTGAAAAAGATTCTGAGTTTTTTAGTATGATCGCTAATCTAATAGAAAAAAATCAAGAAAAATGCTTAATTGAGATAATAGATATAAATGTTTCAAAGGTTATGTTCTCAAAAACTAATCCAATAATAATAAGAAAATTCAAATATTTCAAATTTACAATCTCATCATCAGGAAGTCTATGATGAACTCAAGATATAAAACGTGATTGTAAATTAGAATTCAAATCCAAATTTGGTTTTGGAATCACATTAAATTAAGTAAATATAAATTAGATACATATCTATCGAGAACAGTTGGTAGTATTTTAACAATAAAAAAATAAACTTGAAATTTAATCAAAAATAAGATATATGCAGATATAAAATACTAGGAAACGTATACGAGACTGATTCAATCTCAAGGAGTTATTTAAGAACTCTACAGAGAAAACTATCGATTAAAGATTTTTTTCAATGCCCTCCTATAATACTCACCTTCTTCAATAGGCCTCCATTAGTTAGAGTTAATTCTTATAATAACAGTACCCATTAAGTTTGATTAAATGTGTTATAAAGATAATACAACGATGAGAAGAATTAAACCAATTTAAGAAAGATGCAATAACAAAATGAATTGAGATAGATTCCTACTCTATTCAAAATAGAATATAAGCATAATAAAGAAGAATTCAAATAATAGAGGATGAATTAAATTACTTAGAATAGTTCTTAGATAGTAATGGCTAATTCGTATTTGAATATATTGTAATATAAATGTTTTAATCAGAAATGTTTAGTTTTTATTTTATTAAATAAAATGAGCAATGATTATAATTACATGTTTAAGTACATAGTCGTAGGCGATACAAGTAAAGAAATGAATAAACCTATTAAAGATGTCGGGAAATCGTGTTTATTGTTGCAATTCACAGAAAACAAATTTTGTGATCATACAGAGAGTACAGTGGGTGTAGAGTTCGGCTATAAAACCATAAAGATAAATGATTAATAGATAAAGCTGCAGATTTGGGATACAGTATTATATGTTGAATAGAATTTGATAGGCAGGACAAGATTCATTCAAATCGATCACAAGATCATATTATAGAGGGGCCATTGGAGGATTACTTGTATTTGATTTTAGTAGAAGATCAACGTTTGAAGACATTAAAAAGTGGTTAAAAGAAATAAAGACTTTTTCTTGTGATAAGATTGAATTAGTACTTGTTGGCAACAAATCAGATATTCCTAAAAAAGATGTGACAATTGAGGAAGTGGAAGAATATGCATAATAAGAGAAGTTAGATTTTTATGAAACTTCAGCAAAAACAGGGAAGAATGTTGATGTTGTCTTCGAGAGTGTAGCAAATAAAATTTTAAGAAAAATCGAAACAAAATAAATTAATTTAGATGATTAAGTACATTTGTTCCATAAAAATAGATGTTAGGAATTAAGGTTAATTTTAATGGAAAAATGAGGAAAAAAAGTAAATCTCAAAGTAATCAATCTCCTTATTACAATATAACACTGAATGGCAAATAAAGCGAATAGGAGAAGAGTGAAAAAAAAAGTTGTTGTTGACTATTTCTTAATTTTGTAATTTTTGATATTTATTATGCATTATACACAATGTGAGAATATTAATTAAGTACATTTANTGTAAATTAGAATTCAAATCCAAATTTGGTTTTGGAATCACATTAAATTAAGTAAATATAAATTAGATACATATCTATCGAGAACAGTTGGTAGTATTTTAACAATAAAAAAATAAACTTGAAATTTAATCAAAAATAAGATATATGCAGATATAAAATACTAGGAAACGTATACGAGACTGATTCAATCTCAAGGAGTTATTTAAGAACTCTACAGAGAAAACTATCGATTAAAGATTTTTTTCAATGCCCTCCTATAATACTCACCTTCTTCAATAGGCCTCCATTAGTTAGAGTTAATTCTTATAATAACAGTACCCATTAAGTTTGATTAAATGTGTTATAAAGATAATACAACGATGAGAAGAATTAAACCAATTTAAGAAAGATGCAATAACAAAATGAATTGAGATAGATTCCTACTCTATTCAAAATAGAATATAAGCATAATAAAGAAGAATTCAAATAATAGAGGATGAATTAAATTACTTAGAATAGTTCTTAGATAGTAATGGCTAATTCGTATTTGAATATATTGTAATATAAATGTTTTAATCAGAAATGTTTAGTTTTTATTTTATTAAATAAAATGAGCAATGATTATAATTACATGTTTAAGTACATAGTCGTAGGCGATACAAGTAAAGAAATGAATAAACCTATTAAAGATGTCGGGAAATCGTGTTTATTGTTGCAATTCACAGAAAACAAATTTTGTGATCATACAGAGAGTACAGTGGGTGTAGAGTTCGGCTATAAAACCATAAAGATAAATGATTAATAGATAAAGCTGCAGATTTGGGATACAGTATTATATGTTGAATAGAATTTGATAGGCAGGACAAGATTCATTCAAATCGATCACAAGATCATATTATAGAGGGGCCATTGGAGGATTACTTGTATTTGATTTTAGTAGAAGATCAACGTTTGAAGACATTAAAAAGTGGTTAAAAGAAATAAAGACTTTTTCTTGTGATAAGATTGAATTAGTACTTGTTGGCAACAAATCAGATATTCCTAAAAAAGATGTGACAATTGAGGAAGTGGAAGAATATGCATAATAAGAGAAGTTAGATTTTTATGAAACTTCAGCAAAAACAGGGAAGAATGTTGATGTTGTCTTCGAGAGTGTAGCAAATAAAATTTTAAGAAAAATCGAAACAAAATAAATTAATTTAGATGATTAAGTACATTTGTTCCATAAAAATAGATGTTAGGAATTAAGGTTAATTTTAATGGAAAAATGAGGAAAAAAAGTAAATCTCAAAGTAATCAATCTCCTTATTACAATATAACACTGAATGGCAAATAAAGCGAATAGGAGAAGAGTGAAAAAAAAAGTTGTTGTTGACTATTTCTTAATTTTGTAATTTTTGATATTTATTATGCATTATACACAATGTGAGAATATTAATTAAGTACATTTACCATTAAAGACTTTTGATTTTTGTATTTTCTTAATTCACATTCCATAATATAATTGATGACCTTTATTATTCCAATGGCAATAATGGTGCAGATAATCAAAGCAAGGAAGTTCTTAAGCAAATTCCTTGTTGGGTGTGATTCTGTATAATTAATGGATTCACCTAAACCGAACTAACTACTTTGTTTATCAAATATAGTGTAATAATTTCTCATAAATGGACTGCCTAAGATCATTAACTGGTTATTGTAAGATCGAATATCTGATATCAAGATGTAACAAATAGGTTCATGATGTTTAGTGTGAATATAGAATTAAGGTTCCAAAGTGAATTCTTAATTATCCAAAGACAATTCCTATTTAATTTTTATTTCATCTTTAATAATTGACACTTGGTAACCACATTTACGATGAACTTGTGTCAAATATCACTTTAAAGCGTTTATTGAGTCTTAGAGAGAACTCTGATTTGACCTAAATATTAATAAATATAAAATTTTTGTAATTGCAAGGTGTTATTTTATTCCAATTGAGTTGGGTTGATATCAATTAAGAAGGAACTTTCCTACACTTGCTTAGTGTCTAAAAATATTGTATATTTAGCTAAAACAAAGTGAATACATGCAACACTAATTAACAATTAAACTATTATCATCCATAAATTATATACAAATCATTATAACATTCCGTACTGGGTTTAAGCTTTAGAAATTAGTAACAATAAACTTAATTTGAATCTTCTATTCTTGTCCAATTTAACGAATGTTCTTCTTCTTTCATTTGCAGAAACATCTTTCAAAAATTCCAATTAAAATTTACTCATTCTTTCCATCAAAATTACATATTGCATTTTGTAATCAGGGATCCTTTTATTATTTTTAAGATTTCATACTTATTTTAATTAAACATTTCTATCACATAATTGCTTTAAAAGAATCGAGTGGCTTGGGGTGTAGTTGGTTACTTGAACAATTTTAATTCTGGAATCCTAGATTCTCGACCAAATTGAGGCAGTTTATTTTAGAGACTATTGTTCTTTCTATGTAATCTCAAAGAGATCTGGTTGTGTTTGGAATTGAACTAGAAAGATTATTTAAATTCGCTTTAACTAGCTAATAAAGTAGATTAAATTAATTCTGTATTTTCAGGAGTGCCTCCCAAAAGATTCTTTAATTTTAGCCTTGTGGCAGGTAGTGAATTCTCATACAAACTACTTGTATTTGAAATCGAGTTCTTGCTGAGAAAGTGATGACTGCTTTTTGGAGAATTAAAGATACTGGATGCATCACTTTTTCTTTTTCTATGGTAAGATTCACTTGATATCAGTCTACCCATACTATCCCTTTCATTGATGAAGGGTACAAATGTTTGTTTTTTTTCGATCAACTGATTGAGGGGGTGTTCATTGTTTGTTATTGAATCCATGATCAGGGCTCTTTTAACTGCCTCAGTTTTATGTAAAGCTGGAAGTTATCTGTCTTTGTAATACACACAATAATCTAATAAATTTTCAGAAGGATGCTTTTTCATTATTTATATTTTGTAATTAATAATGACTTGCGAAGTCTGTGATTTATAAATAGATTGCAGGTCAGAATCAAATGTCTTTGAATTAACTAAATGAAGACTCCACTTGATTAGAATTTAACAGAATTAATATAAATAACACAGCACCCCTTAATTTAGATAACTTGAGTGGAGTTCATTTAATTGAAGGACCAAAGTCTAGTTAAGATGGAATTCCAATTGAGATGGAGTAATAAGAATTGCAACCAAAAGATGATTAAATTGTATAATTGGAGAGGGAATGCAATGGAGAGTGGATTATAATTATTATATAAATAATGAAATGTTCTATTTAAACACAATGTTGGTATGGATTCTTCAGTAATGAAAATTACGAAGTTATGGAAAATAGAATGACAAACGCTCAATTTTGTATAACTGGAAAGTGTGATTGCTTTGATTAAATTTGTGTATCAATTGGTCTTATTTGTGTTTATTAAATAAATGAGTAAATTATAGGAATCTAATACATTTGAAAATAACAAAAAATATAAAATAAAAACAGAGCGTAGCACTTTGATGGCATCACCAAAGAACAAGGAATTCGATGGTCAAGAGGATTTGGTCAAGAGATTGAACGAGAATTAGAAGAGTTTATAAAAAGAAATAGAGAAACTACATTTACAAGTGGAAAACAAGGAGGACTAAGTACGGAAACTGCAAGATTTAGTGAAACTTCAATAGAAGGAGATTGATAGATTGACTCACATCAATGAATATTTGATGCAAGCTAATTAGACGAAATTGAGTATCTTGCGAGATGAGAGACAATCAAATTAAGGAAGTAAATCAAATGTAAAAATTAAGAATCACAAGTCATTAATGCCTCTTGAGAAAAAGGTTAATAAATAGCCGGAGGATAATACATAAACTATTAAATTATATCGACGATAGACATTTCGTAATCCAACATTATTGAAGTACCATCAGGAGGAAGGAGACACATTCAAAAGTGAGAGAAATACATCTGGGTCATCCAACTTTTATGATATTCTACAATAGGAGGATTGCTTCAGAACAAATGCTATTTTAAATATTCAACTATGTACTAAAGAATTTGTCATATGATAGCTGATGAAGACGCAACCGCTTAATACAATCAAGATGGCACTGTCTCATTGATGAAAGTGCTCTTAGACTCTGAAGAGATCTTTAGTGAAATCATTCAATCAATATCTGCATAGAAATTGTCATTTCTGTTTGATAAATTTAAGAGAGTGATGTCAGACCATCAATAATTATTTATATTGGTCTTGAGATTGAAAAAGATCGTGACTGGAGCATTGCAAATGAACACCTCAGTCCTCCTAGATGATGCACTCCAAAACATTATTGACAAATGTGTTGATTGTTTGGAATGTGATAGAGCATCCTGTTTCATTGTGGATCAAGCCAAAAAGGAACTGTGGACTAGAGTGGCCAAAGGAACATCCACTACCATTCGACTGCAAATTGGTCAGGGGTTGGCTGGTTTTGTGGCCTAGAATCATACAATCTTGAATATTGAAGATGCCTACAGAGATTAAAGATTTAATACACAACAAGATGCAAAGAGCAACTACAAAACTAAGACTCTTTTGGTCTCTCCCATTTTAGATGGCGACAAGTGTGTTGGAGTACTCCAATGTGTCAATAAGTCTAACGGTTTCTTTACTAAGGATGATGAAGCTTTGTTATAGATTATGGCTGAGTTTAGTAAGAGTGTTCTTAAGAATGCCTTGAATCATGACGCCTAGATGTTGATACAAAATAAGCTCAGACATATCATCAGAACAGGCATCATTTTATAGGGCTGTCTGTTCAAAAAGGATAACATAGTAGAATTATTGCTGTCTTCTGAAGAGCGTCTTAGATCATTGATGAATGTCGATCAGGCAAAGGTGGTCTATTGGGACAATTGTTTATATCATATCAACAAAGATGGCAAGATGACAGAGACCTAGAATCTGATAGGGATTGTGGGAAAATGCATTGAAGATTCATAATTGGTGGCAGTAAGCAATTGTTATACAAGTCCCATATTCAATCCAAATATTGACATCGAAACAAATATGCCTGTGATTTGTATGCCTTTGAAAACACAAAGTCATTAGATCATTGGGGCCATTCAGGTTGTTAATGTGAAGGGGATTGGGAATATTTCTTCTAATAGTGATGCCAAGATCAATTCAATCGATTTAGATATGTTGGAGCTCTTTTGTTAGCACTGTGCTTAATCTTTATTGTAATGTAAAGTGCATACCTAATAATTATGATATTAATTAAAATTATTAAATATAAATGGGTAATTCACAAAAAAATAATCAGAAATTAATCTCCACAGCTTGGCTAGGTGTGAATGTAACTAGCAAATACTAAGTTAGGATGAATGGTCATCTTTAATGAAGGAGAAGCTATCTCGTCTTTCTGAAGAGTGGGTTGTTCCCACAATCAAATGCTTGGATAGATTTTCATAGAAAGAACAGAAAAAATTCAGAAACCAAGTGAAATTGATTTGTATCTTTTTGTTTTTTAATTCATAGTGGGTAAGAAAATGAAAGAAGATAAGTATGAGGAGTTATTCAGTAAAAGCTAAGAGTTTTTGTAAATTCATTTCAATTTATATCATTCCATAGAAACAACAATGAGTATCTTCGCCAAGATTTCTAATTAGGCATCCCAATATCGGAACTCACGATATCCACCAACACTAATTCAAGTAATATGGAATAATCATAGCATAGTTGGTAAGATCAATGACAATCAATCCATATCTTCTAAGAACCAAGACAGTTTATTAATGGATGATCAAAGTTCCTAAATTTAATAATTCTATGTGTTCATAACTTGTATTAATGATGCTCTAATAAGTCAAAAACACCCTTTTATACATCTAATCAATCAGTTTAAAGAATGGGCAACAAACAAATTAATAAATATCAAGAATCCTTAACACAACATACAATAAATGAAATAGAAACTCTAGAAATTTTAGAGTTCTTCAGACCTCTTTCTGAACTTCCTCATCCTTTCTTTGAATGAATATTTGGGAGATTTTAGCGATGAGTTAAGTGAGGAGGAACCCACTAAGTACATCAAAGACAAACAAAACTATTACAATTTATTTCTATAACATGTATTCATTTCTATCTATTGATTTTCAGATATACAATGAAGCCTTAATAAATCATCTCATGGATATACTTAAGGTAATCCATTAAAACAGCTAAAATAATTGTATTAAAAAAGTCAAACATATGCAATCCAAAGTTGAATGTTTTGAGATCCCAAAAAAATATCTTACTCATGATCAACCATTCTAATAAGAAATCTCATGTTTAAGTGAAGCCCAACAATTAAGACGACCTGCAGATATTTTTTATTGTTTCAGGAAAACTTATATGATGATCAAGGATCATTTGACTAGATCTGCATCCAACCTTTTGATTTTCCAAGTAACCAATTATGTTATTGTGCATTCCAACATTGAGCATTTTCATGCCCTTCTCCATTTGCTAGAAATCTTCTATTGTAATTCACCTATTTTACTTAAATACCATTAATCGTTGGAATTCATATAAAATATTTTAATTTCTTGAATTCCCAGAATAATAATGATGAATTAAGTAACAAGATTATATATAAAAATTTAATAAATAAATAAAAATGCAATAAAATCCAAAACCTCTACTAATTATCGACTCCAGATATGCTCTCTACGACTCAAGACAAAAAAGAACATACAAATATAATACTGTTCTTTAGAAATCCTTCGCATTACTACAACAGCATTTTCAAATATAAGTCATTTTTTGCCACTCTAAACCCAATACTAATGAGTTTTTTTACAATGAATTTCACAAGAATTTTCAGGGAATCGACTCAAAATAACTCTCAATCCAAGAATTAAAGCACACTTCATTCCCCAATGAAGATATTATTGTAGTAACTCATAATTATGAATAATTCACTCTCCAACAAAAATATCAGTTATACTATTTTTCTAGTGTCTCCTAACACTTGGATAAAAAAAGATAACTAGAACTCAAATACTACGAATCAAATCCAAGACCAAGTTTTCACATTTCCCACATTCAGTAAGTCATGTCATATTTCTCAAAGTCTGAAAACCCCTTCACTGTCGGCTACTATTTCTACCCTAAAAAGTTCAATGAACTGATTCAGTTTGATGCCTTGATTAGCAACGCCAATTTCAATTACATTCCCATTGATTTTCGATTCTACAATAAATACATACAAATTAATGTCTTGTTTCATAGAGTCATGGATATCTACAAGAAAAAGGAAATCAACATGAAGCAGAATGAAGTTGAGTTGTTTCAATAGAACTACGACAAATTTGTAACAGAAAACGCAGGAATACCTGTAATAGACTCAATTGAATGCTTGAAGACGTTAATTTAGAGAGACGAACTTAATATCAGATTGCAATCTATCTTCGCCAGTCCTCAATTCTAAAATGCTGTATAGGAACATCACATCAAAATTATGACTCCTGAACAAATTTTATATGACAATATCGATGAACCTCAAGAGTTGTAAAATCTCAAATACCCCCTCATTGTGAAAAGTAAACAAGGAGCCTTGACAGCTAATTGCCATATCATGGCTATTGTAGTAAACGAGAAAGGACTCAGGGAATTGTTTAAGCATGAATAATTTAAGTATCAGATTATTAGTAGATTAGAGGCTAATTGATTTTGCAGCAAATTATTAACCATAACAGCATTATCTACAAAATATATCAATTAGGAAGTAAAATGATTATACAAAAACGCAAATCCATCCCCAACATAGAAATTCACAATTTCAAATTTGAAGAAGTACTCTTTTTATGACACTAATATAGGGTTTTTACATTTTCGATACTCAAAAAGACTTGTTTAAAAATGTTTCACAATGTTTGAAAGAGGTGGACGAAGGAGTTCATGAATGCTCGAATGAAGATTAATTGCTTAAACAGATGGAATTGTTATCCTCAATAATAGCGAAGGAGTTTAAATTGCATCTCTTTGGTTTTGATATTATTGGTATGAATTGGGAGTTCTATATCATTGATATAAATCATTTTCCAGGATACAAAAATGTAAGATATTTGTAGATGTATTTCAGGTTGAAAATGCCAGGGAATTGTTTGAGTAGTTATTTCTGTAAGTATCGAAAAAGTGAGGATCTGATAGAAAAGATTATAATTTATTATAAACATTTGTAAAATGATATTTGCTAATCAAATTAATTTAGAAAATTCAGGAGCTAAATTTATGATTTCAATTTCCTCTTCTTCATTTTATTAGTGATGAACTCTAGTGTTTCTCTTACTTGGAGTAGTGAGGATATATGAAACCTATTTACTTTGTCTTTTGGGACTGATCTGTTTTTATGAGGAATTGTAGGAGAGTTTTGAGCTATTTTACTTATTGTTCTCTCTGGGCTTATATAGGTAGATTTGGTTATAATAAATGATATGCTATTTTTTGGGGGACTTGGGAGTTTTGGTTGGACTTTTCTTAGAGCTCTTTTTGTAATTGTTCTTTCTACCCATTATTTGTCTATAGGAATCATTGGGATTGCAAGCCCACAATTTGAGTCTCGATTATTGTTATTGTTGGGTGTCTTCTGGGTATGAGATTTCAGGCAAATCCTTGATTTCTTGTTCAACATCATTATCATTTGATAGTTTCTATTGGAGTTATTGTTGGTTCTGATTTAAGATATTGAAGACTTCCTTCGATATGGGTTGTTCATAATACTATAGTAATTACTCGCTTTTATCTGTTTGATCTCCTTGGTTGTTGGACTCCATATAACGTTTTGAACTTGCTTTTGGAAATAGTTACTATTATTCTTATTTCTCCTAGACCTTTGTCATGTCCAGCATTTTGAACTGAACAGGCACAGGTGACAAATTTTTATGAGATGACTTGTCTTTGCTCTTATTCTTGATGTTGGATTGTTTCTTTTGTTGATAGAACCGTTCCTGTGATTCACTCATAATCTTCTCATGTGTTGAATGCACTTTAGTCAACTTAATTTCATTTAATTCCTTGATTGGAGTTTCCTTACTTGGTGTATTGTCAGTGCCTCTGAAAGTGAACTTATTTTCTCTTTGAGGAGTAGGATTAATTTTCACAACTGAGTAGGAGAGCGGAGTACATAGAGTCTTGGAGCGTAGCCTGTAGAAGGAAGGAGAAAGGGATCGACAAGCAAATAAAGGCCTAGTCACAACAAATGCAGGGACAGGATGGAATTTGCGATCTATGGAGCTGAAATGTTAACGAATTTATTGAATCTGATATTGCATTGTTTTATATATTAATGCAAACATCAAGAGAAAAATCAATATTTCTTAAACAACCTAAATAGAAACAGCTTCCCTTGATATTTTAACCATAAAATAATAGTGTACGGTACGAGCTCGACAACTTGTGATAATCACAAATTACTAACTCAATTATACATCCTGATATTCGAGACCATTTCCTACCTAAATTCTTTATATGATGTATATGTAATTGTCATATCTCTCTTTATGGTTTGAATCAATTAAATGCTAAATTGGGGATACTCATGTAGTTGTATTGTTACAAATGAATACTACATTAATGAATATTAAAAATTTAAATTTTAAATACTCAAAATATGTAGTGAAGTTCTTTATATATAAGTGAAATAAGAATTCCATTGATTTTATCTCCTTTAAGTATACGCTTGAATAGACTGAATTCATAAAAATATTATTGATAATATAATTATAAAATGAAAACTAAGGAACTTTGGACTTACACAATTGATAAGCCAACCGAGCCGAATTCAAATCTCACAAATCAAGTATTTGCTTGCGCTTTTTTAAAAGGTAAAAAGTGATATAATAGTATGAATAGACGGAGATGTTGTGGTTGCCGCTGTAGGGAATGCCCTGCTATTATTTGACACTTAAAAATCTGAGATGCTTAGACCACCTTTAAGAGGACAACACAAAGACACAATTACTTGTTTGGCTGCATCCAAGGATGGAAATAAAATGGTTACAGGCAGTACAGATAAAACAGTTATTGTGTGGGGATTCAATATCACTAGAGGCGAGAAGATGTTGGATGCCGAAAAATGGTTTTCACACAGCGAAGCCATATAGTGTGTTGCCATCAGTCCTTTGATGTATTAGATATTTACAGGCTCGAATCAAGAGTACTCTCTATGGGTTCCTGGAATGAGTAATATTGAAAGGTAGAAGTACAAGGAGAAGATAATATGTGCAGCTTGGAGTGCTGATGGCCAGTATGTTTCGTTTGGGACGCTTAGTGGTATATTAGAGTGCTTTTCATATTAGGAATGATTGTGATTACTGATAGACAAGCACATTAATTGAAGGAGATTCAAACTCAGAAGGGGGGACCAGTCTGGTGCATGGAATGGACTCCAATTACTTCAGAATATTAGTAGTCGCAATTGACAGTCGGAGTGTGGATGAATTCCTTATACCAATTTGATTGCAATGGCTAATAAATTGGAGCTCGAACAGAATTGCCATTCGATCCCTTGCATATCAATTATTAATACAATGGCGAGTACATGGCAATAGCTGGAAATAATAATAAGATTAACCTCTATACGAGAGAGGGAGGATTCCTGATGGAAGCCTGTTCTCTCAATGATTGGGTCTGGTGTACCAAAATAAAACCAAAATCCACAGTGATTGTTTGTGGTACTAATGATGGTGACATTGTTGTGTAAGAATTACTATCAGAAAATGTTACTGCATTGTATGATGATAAGTTCGTTTAGAGAGAACAATTGACAGATGCTATCATATTGTCGATGGTTTCTAATTAGAAGGCCAGAATCAAATGTAAGGAATTAGTCAAAAGAGTGGCCATATTCAAGGAGAAAGTGGCCATCTTGTGCGGCATCAAGGTCTTGATTTACACTTGCGTTATTAAGGGGGAGGATTTTATGAAATACAAGCAATTCAAGAAATTTTAGAAAAGAGTGGATTGTGAGCATTTCTAATTGGCATCATCAAATGTTTTGATTGGAGCAGGCTAGAAATTAATCGCATTCAATTTTAATGGAGATATGGACAAAACTTGGAGTTTCGAATCTCCTATTACTGTAGTCACTTGTTAAGGTGGTGCTCCAAAGAGAGAACTAGTTTTAGTTGGGTTAGAGAATGGAGGCGTATACAAGATCTTTTTGGATAATTCATTCCCTATTTAAATTCATAAGGTTAATACACCTATCAAATATTTGACTATGTCTTAAACTAAAAGAAAATTGGCATTGATAGATGGCAATCAGAATCTATAAGTACTAGATACTATGAGCAAAGAGATTTTGTTTGGTGAAATGAGTGTTGAAGGCGTTGCTTTCAATCAAGAATTTGAGGATTTGATAGCTTATTCAGGTAAGGGATTGTTGTTTTTCAAATGCATTACATTTCCAGCCCTAAATTAAAAGATAACTGGAAATGTTATAGGGTTCAAAGGATGCAAGTTATTCCTCCAAAATAATAACTAAGTCCAGACCATTGATATCCAATAAACAGCCAATATGCAAAGGTACTTAGAGAAGAAGGATTTCTAGAATGCCTTGAAGATAGCTTGTCTTGGTGTGACAGAGTAGGATATAAGAGCATTGGGAATAGAGGCTTTGATAGCAGGGGAATTTGAAATAGCAAGAAGAGTATAACAGAATTTAATTATTTTAGTGTTTCTTGAGAAATAAGGATTACTAATTCATTGATTTGCTATTGAAATACGAGAAGAAGAATATGGATGCTCAGACGCTTAATGAATTAAACGCAGAGGCTTTGGCATATCAAGGGAGATTCATGGATGCTGGTAATCTGCTAATAAAGGTTGGGTAGGCTGATAGAGCAGTGTAGTTGTTTAAAGAATTAAGGAGATGGGATGATGCCATAAGTAATTAATTAATTTAATTTAGACTTTGCTAAAAAGGGAGATGTTGCGTATAGAGCAGTGACATCTGGAGGAAGAACTGGCACTGGAGTTAGAGCACCAACCTCCTAAGGAAGAACAGGCACAGGCAGGGGTTAGGCAGTCATGCCATAACCATAAGATATAGCACCTCCGAAGATAGAGATGAATATGTTGTTGAGAGAATAGGCTGAATGGACCAAAGAATCTGGAGATTGGAAGGCTGCAGCTGATTTGTTTGTCACTTGTGGAGAATTTAAGAAGGCCATTGAGTTGTACGGACAGAATAAAAATTTGGAAGGGCTGATCAATGTTTGCAGAATGTTGGATAGATAAGAGAATTCAGATAATATAGTTTTGTGTGCTAATTATTTCAAGAAACTCAAACATCATGGAGGAGCTAAAGAAGCCTATCTTAAATTAAATGATTTGAAGAACCTTATGATTTTGCATGTTGAATTTCAAAAATGGTAGGAAGCTTTTTAGATTGGGAGATCCAATAAGGAACTTCTGGAAATTGCCAAAGTACCATATGCCGATTACTTATTGCTGAACGATCGCTATGAAGATGCTCTCAAAGCTTATAAGAGTGCAGGCAGGTTTGATATCACAATGAAAATGACCAAAGACATGGCCAAAAATTGTATAGAAGAACAAAGGTATCATGATGCTAGTCAATACTTATGGAATTTAGCCATTGATTGTTTGTCTTAAATTCAAGACTATTAAAATCCATCCGGAGATGATGTGAAAGCCATCACCTAATACAAGGATTACAGTGATTTAGCAGATGTCTATTATGCATATCAAAAGATACACAGCTTCATCTGTGAACCGTTTCAACCGTTATCAGGAGAATCCTATTTCTTATAGATTATGAATTCTGCCAGATTCATTATCTCAAAATGGAAGAGTGTCTATCAGGGTATCAAAATGAGTTATGTCTATTATGCATTAGCTAAGTGCGCAGTTCAACTTGCATGTTTCAAGACTGCTCGTATATGCTATGAAAAATTGAATGTAATTGATTTACAATATTGTATTAGCAATTCAAAATACCTGCGGAATGGAGTGAAGAAATAGATCTTCAATCCCTATTAGTTAGATCAAAACCATATACAGACGATGAATCTAAATTGCCACTCTGTATGAGATGCTAAACATACAACGCCATCATTAATGTCAATGAAAAATTGTCGTTTTGCAATGCTTGTTTGCATCTCCTCTTCTGTTCCTTTATCAGCTTCCAGACTCTCCCTCTTGTTGAGTTTAAGGTTGATAACTCCTTATCGAGAGATGACGTGTAAAGACTGCTTAACAGTGAGAAAGTGTTTGTCAACAAGAGACCAGGATAATTATTCTAAGATAAAATCAATGAGATTATTCAACAATAGCAAACATCCCAAGACCAATACTTGGTGGTAGAGTTGGATGAGGCTGCAGTTCAATCACTTTCACCTGAAGAAGTTTTGATTGTAGATTATAGACAATATTGCAGTACTATTGATGTCAAATACTATAAAAACATGGTTGGAGAATAACCCATTCATGTTTGTCCTGATTGCGGAAGATTCTTCTATGTTGATGAACATGAATTCGAATATGTCCAAAAACGGTGCTGTCCATTTTGTAGAATTTCAGATAAAAAAATACCATAGAAGGATGTCTTCGATATTTGAAATATAATAAATAATTAAAAATATCAAAAATGATGCAGTAAAATAGACTTCAAAGCAGCGTGTAACCATAAACTTTCAATCCCTAAACTAAAACCTTACAACCCTAATGTATGGCCTAAGGTTTGCCCTAAGGTTTACCCTAAGCGCCACCTCCCTAACAATTCAAATAAACTTCATAAAATGATGGACTATTGGAAATTATTAATTAAGCTAAAAGTCGAGAAACATTAAGAAAAGAAGAATGCCTAAAGAAGATGGCCTTGATTAATACTAATTTCGGTGAGAGAAACTACAATTGAAAATTCATATTTTCATTTTCTATTAACATTTTATATTATTATTTTCTAATTACATCTTATTGTTTAATTAGTATATCTATTGGCTACCAATAATATATTCTATAATAGATGAGAAAGAACCTAAACAAGAGTTTTAATTATCATGGGATAATATAACTCTCTTTTTTCAAAATACTTAATTAAAAATAATGCAGTCATAGTAATATAAATCCTTTGAATAACTTTTTCTATTTGTCTTCTTCTTCTATTTATATTAAACTTTAGTTTATTGATCGAATGACAACTAATATTTTGAGTTGTGACATTTTTCTATTGTTTATCAAATTTTTATAATATTTGGAAAATTATATAAAAGTTTTTATTATTATTTACTTTTCATATACATTAGATATATATAACCTATATGAATTTAAAATACATTTTTGAATCTAATTTGCTGAAATATTTTGTTCTCAAAGAAAATAATTTTTCTTTTTATAAAACCTATAGAGAACTAAACGCACAAAGAAATTCAATATCAAAATCAAATAGAGCACCTTTTATGTAATATGATATTATAAAAAATCATATAATCACATTAATACAAAAGTTAATCTATTCAAGATTAAAAAAATTCATAAATTTAATATCAATATTACCATACAAAGAATCAAAAACACAAACAAAGTAAGACAACGTATTATTAAAAACTATTGAGATTGAAAAAAGATTAATCCACAATTGTTGATTAAAAAAATGGATTAAATCTAAAAATAGGTGAATATATAATATTACTGTAATAATTATGTTTTTAATTAGTTAATGAATTTATTTCATTCTGAGAAATGCAATTATAATATAGAGAGGAAAATAATATAGAATTGAGAAATCAAGAGACCTAAAATAAGAAAAGAAGGAAGACTAAAGGAGGATTTATAGAATCAAAATTAAGAAAATACATAGCTGGAGATTCCTTATTGATATATTTTTGGTATGGTGTATTTAGTTTTATATCCTTAAGATATGAAGCAAGGCTACTTACAAAATATTTTCAATTTCAGATTAAATATATTTTCTTGAACTCTGCATAATTTTTTTTCAGAATGAATTAAGCTTAATAAAAATTTTAAAAGAACCTCTAAAGGCTATAGTTAGAAAATATATATTTAGAAATTATCTGCTTATGTTTATATAACCAGTTTTGCATCCTTTATTTGTCTATCAGAGCTTCAATGCAATAAGTAGTGTAATTTATATTTCAATTTAAATTTAAGTTAAATGAATAGATTTACAATTATTTCCCTTATGCTTTTTTTAAAATAATTATATAAATTACAGGATAAATTAGGACATTTATTTTGAAATTAAAAATTTATTATCCATATTTAATTTATATTATACTAATAACTTCATTCATTACAATAAATCCCATTTAAAGTAATGGAAAATTATTAGAAGAGAAATCATTTGAAAAGCAGGAATCAATAATAAATGTAACATTATTATCACACATAGATACAAATAAATTAATAATGAACTAAATTATTATGAATATATATTTCATGAAATCTTATTCATAAAATAATAATCTATTTCATTATATATCTCTTCTGAAATTAGATCATAATTTTTATCAATTTTTTTTCTGGAGTAAGATAATATGTCTGCATCATCATCGTTTAAGATATAATTATTTTCAAAAGATTTTTCTGACTTTGGAGTGAAAACAATTTCACTCTCTTTCTACTAAAGCATGTTTATCTTTATCCCTATTTAATGAGATTTCTGAAATTCATTTCTAAATTTTGATGATCTCATAACAAAATACAGCCTAGATATTTCATACAATAGATTCAAATAACTAAACTTTTTTCTCATCTGTTGAGAAACCTTCTCATAAAATTTGTTATAATTATTAATATCTAGATTTATCTTATTTAAACTTGCTTCAACTATCCTACCTCTCCAATTCTTTTTTATTTGTATATTTGTAAATTCTGGGTAATAAATACTTATGAGTTCGTTCAATACCTTTTAATTTAAAAAATATTCATTTGACAAAATAATAAAATATTTGATTGTAAATAGGATTGAGACAATAGATCCAATATTCGCCAATAAATCTCCTATACGTGGATACTCAAATATGGTTTTTTCTTGAGTCCCTGTCATTCCAAGATAGACTATTGCAATTACGTTATTCTCATAAATTTTTTAACAATATTCCAAAGAATTAGTTTAAGTTTGTATTAATACGTCTACAATATATTCTTTGAATTGAGGGAAGCCAAATAAAAAATACTTTTAAAGTTCAAACAAGGTTGTTTTAAAATAAGATTACACTGAATAACAATATTGTTACTCAATTTAAATAGTAAATTCTTAGTATCCACGTTGTTTTGATCCATCTCGAGGATCTATTGATGTAGTGAAAAATTCAATTTAAACCACATTATTTATTTATGCAAAAAATTGATCTCTAAGTTCTGCTGATGCACATTTTTCACCAGGTTATAAATATGCTTCTGAACACAAAACTATTTCGATATACATTTCTCCTGAAGTGTAAATATAACCATTATCATAAGAAAAACCAAATTTCATTTCTGGTACATAAACTTCTCCAAAAGGTGTGGTGTAATGATTTGTTATTAATAAAGGATCTGTCAATACGCTCTCACTAGAGTACACAATTAATGGCAATAAAATTTTATGTTCAAATGGATCAATTTTGCCTTCGCGATCTTGCCAATAGTATATTCTTACAACTTCCTCACTCAAGTCTAGCAAAGAATAGTCTGATATGTAATTTTAACGTGATATTTTTGGGCTCATCTAATTAGTTTACCAAAGGTAACCAACCCAAAATACATAAGCTAAACTGGCTGTAAAGATTGTAATTGTTATTATTCCCCCAAGTGTACTTTTATATTTTGTTTATTAATGATCTATATTTTATATGAATGGAACCCCAAAGAAATCTGCATATTTTAGGATTTTCATAAATTAATATCTAAATATGAATAATAATAGATTTGATAGGTCTAATAAAAGATATTTGCTGAAACTCATAGGATAGCTTGTCCAATATCGTTCATTCTCATAAAAATAGATAATATAATGATTTAAAAGTTCTATCATTCTTATTAATTTAAGAATTAAACATAACTTTTTTAGTTAAAAAATTGCCTTTTAATAAATTATTAATCAAAATCTTTAACAAAGTAGAGATCAAAACACTAGCTGATTAAAGCATTTGCAAGAAGGCGAATCAGTTTGTAACTTAAGATGAGTTTCTATTTTTAAATTAGAATTGATTTTCTTATTGTAATTATAATGAAAAGTAAAATAATTTTTTGATATTGATATTCAACGAAATTCCACTAAAAATATTCAAGTAAATATAAAATCCAATTAATTTTAAATAAACTCAACCTCAATATTGAATAGAAGAAGAACTACATTATTTAATTTTTCCCTTTATTCTTTTTTATATTTAATTAAAATCCTTAATGAAATAATTAAAAATAACACTTTGCAAACTTTTCAAGCGCCTTTCCTTTTTGTCCAAGGTTCTCAAAATTGTAATAAAGAAGGATTTTGTTATTACAACAGTCAAATAAGTGAGTTTTTTGGAAAAGTTCTTTTATTTGTCATTATTATTATAAATTTTATTTTATAATTTCAAAGAACATAAGTCTATAAGACTGTTGAGACTATCTCGAATGCTGAACAGATATTAACTTTGTTAACAAGAGGCAAATTTAATAAAATAAAAAAAAATTATCTAACAAAATTACTTAACAAGTAACCTCAAACCAAAGCTATCAAAGAAGAATCAAAAGAGACATCCTACTAAAATTAAAGATTATAGAAATAATAATCATTAGTTATTAGGAAAATTAGAAGTTAGGTTTTAAAAGCTGTAAACAAACATTTAGTAAAATAAAGTAGTTTGGTCCTGAGAGAAATTTGTTTCCTTTTTAGAGATTGTAAAGGCATTATCATAAATAAAAACAAATTTCAGATATAATTTATTTTATTATCCTTCTTATAAACTTTTCTCAAATTTTGATGGAGTCAATTTATTCTAATTTATATTTTGAATTAACTATTGCTTTATACTTGCTATTGACCCATTAAATTAGAAGCACTTTAATTGCTAATTTTATGGATATCCAATATTAATAGTCATATTCAAAAAGACTTAGAATTATACTCATTGAAGATTTAGTTTATGTAAATTAAACTATATTTTAATTTTTTTATTCAGAATACTATCCAGATTGAATATTTATATTTAAGATTTTATTTTTCCTTTTTTGAGGTTAAATGTTACTTTTTATACATAAATCTTGGAATTGATTGCTATTTTTGATGTTTATCATCAATAGAGAATGAGTCATTATGGTTTTACAAAATAACGACTTATTTATTTAGAACGTTCAAATTACAAATATAACTCCTAGCCTACATAATCGAAATTTTGAAATATAAATTGCTTCAACTTTCCACAACAACCTATAATAAATTTTAATTTACTTCATCTCTGTAATACAAAAATTCATTAAATTATATTTTTTTACAATAAGATTCAAACAGGTATTACATATTCCTTTATCATTAGATATAATAGTCATAATTTCATTTATTATTTAATCATTCATAAAATAATTCTTTAATATTTTTCAATATTTTTGATTTATTAACAAACATAATTTTAAAATTAACAGTTATTTTTTTGTAAAATAGCTAATATAATATGAATAATTAATAGTGATTGATTTTTATCTATCCTTATATTAATTATTGAAATGTAAGCGATAAGAAATTACTTATTAAATAAGATTCAAAATTAATAAATATCTTTTACTTGTATTTAAAAATATAATCTTTTTTAAGAAATTTAAGAATAGTAAGAGTAAAATTATCGAACATTTATATTTAGTAACTTAGAAATGTCTGTATTACATAGTAAAAGGTAAATGCATAAAATCTAAAATAAAGAATTAGAGGCTGAATTAATATTCAAAAATCTCCTTGTTCAGAATTTTTTGTTTAATGAAGACATTATAGTATAAATTAAATTTAACCAAAAAAACAATTATTTAATTAAAAAGATTCGAGAAAAAAAAAAGTTATATATTGGCTGATGTTCAAGTAAATAATTAAATAAGTTTATAAGAATTTGTAGGATGAGGAGAGGCAATTAATATTTGAGACCACTCAAAAATTGACTGAAGATGGTATCTATTCAATCAACGTTAGGCAAATACCCGGATAAATGAGATCTATAGCTTTTCCAGTGCTTTAATTAAAAGACCACACTACAAGGTGACAATAATGATTATGCTAATCAAATTGCTCATCACTGGTTGAGTAGAAAATATATTAAAATAATTTATATAATCAAGTAGGGACACACTATCTATCAACATCATTTATTATCTGACAATAAGACTCTTAATGAGAATCTTACGATTTATTTATTAATTATTCCACAATTTCTAATTTTTAATATATATGTTGAAAAAATTAAAGCGATATTTA